ATTTTTTGTCTTGGTAATGTATATTTTTTTCTTAAATATAATCTTTAATATAAAAAAGGTATTTAATTTTTTATTTAACAAATCAAAAGTATAATGATTATCTAATATTTACAAACCTTTAATAAATAATAAAAAATTAGGTTAGTTTTATCATTAAAGAACTTAAAGACTTTTTGATCAAAGTTTTGAACTATATTTCTAAGTAGATGTACTATTACAATACAAGTTTTGTTATACAATTTTATGTAATCAATGATTTATTACAATTCCTATTAGTTGATTTCAGCTTTGACTACAATATTTACTAGATAGCAAAGTTTGTATTTTATAGTTACTACATTTGACAACTAATATTTAATGTGTAAAGCAAAATTAAACAAGAATATCTAATTTAGGAGACTGCCTAAATTGGTCACTAATTAATTTGTAAATTAAAAACTCGCAAAGCTTTAGATAATCTTTAATTTAAAATTAATAAAGAAGAGTGTGATAACTTAGAGTAGTGGTTAAGTTGTCACCTTTAAGCAGCAGATCTAGAGTTTAAATCCTACCAGAGACATTTTTAGAAAAATAGGCCTGTATATCAGTAACAATTATTCAACAATTAGTTGGATATATTACCTGTAATCTTGATACTACCATCTTGAAATGGAAGCTCTTGAGTGATCTAAATTTAAGAAACTGGAATAATTGGAATCTGTTTGACAAGACCTGAGTAAAGAGGTAGTGAAGATCTTTAACAATACTGTGGAAAAGTCAAAAATTAGACATCGAAGAACTAGATGAAAACTTTGGGACAAGAAGGGTCTACCAACCTGGTTACCAGAGTTGCATCAGAGAAAAAGGTCCTATGCTATAGAATTAAAAACTAATAGAAGTAAAACTGGAAAGCACCTAAAGCCTAGGTATAATAATCCATCTGAGCTAACTAGTTTGGTAGAGAGAGATTAATATAAGAACTGGCTTGATATAGGTATCAAGATCAGAACAAACCTTGCAAAAGCATCAAATATCAGAATTGTATGGTTTAATGATTAGCTCTGACTGCTAGTAGTGGTTTCAACTGCTGCAAAAGGTATTCATAACCTAATCTGAAAATATGTAGGATATAGAAAGATTAATAAGGTATATACTATACCCTCTTTAGAGCAACATAGTAGTATAAGAACCCTACTAGATTATTTATAGAATTAAGACACAAGTAGTATAGCAGATGTTGATCTAGATAGTTTTTAATAAGAAGCAGCACAAGGTTATATGCTAGTGTGATTATAATAGATGGTACAGGATGAAGACATCAGAGAGTTTAAATAGATAATTACCTAATTGGTTTACAGGTATGGCATATAGTATAAAACCTTTAGGCAGACTACTTAAATAGACAACCAAAGTTACATATATGGCTACATATACTCTCATTAACCAAGAATATGCTATCTAAAATATCTAATAAAAATTCGTCTTCATGCAATATTGTGAAGTTAAAAAAAAAAAATTAATAAAAAATTTGATTTACAGGTTTTAGCAAAGATAATAGAGTATTACTTGATTATTATAAAGCTTAATTTAAATTTAATATAGTATGTTTATTAAAAAATGAGCAATAATAATAAAGAAGCAAGAAATTTGCTAAGTTGACTAAAACATCTTGTGTAGCAGCAATTGTGATTACACTAGAAGTTACTATACAAATATCAATCCTAGCTGCTAAAAAAAAGCTTTCTGAATATTATATATATTTATATTAAAGTGGGCTAGAGAGGTTGTGAAAATTTTTTTATTCAAGACTTGCTTCTCTTCTAACGTATTTTTTATTTGATTTTTTTATGCAAGGCATATGATTTTAATCTATCTGATATTGATATGAAATCATGTTTAATTCTTAATCTTCTCTATTAAATTCAAAAAAAACTCATCTAATTGTTAAAATAAAACAATTGTCTAGCTTAAAATTTCATTAATCAATAATTGCACAACATTGTTTATAGCTTTAATGAAAGATCAATGTTCACTCTGCAAAGAATTAAAAAAAGATCAAACTTTCAAAAAACTACTATAACTTAATCAACAAAAATCAAACAATTAAATAAAATTTTCTTGGACATGTTCTAAATATAGTAGGAACATAATTTAACATTAGTGAGACAATGTCTGTATACAATGTTTTTCCAGAACACAAATGTAGACATTGGTGTGAGATATTGTTTGGAACTGTCTGTATCCCAGCAGTTTTGGTGAGACAATATCTGTATACAACACTATCTGTATACATATACTATATATAAACTAAGAAAATTTCTTTATATAATTATAAAAAATAAAATATAATATATTTTTATTTACTAAATTAATTTAATAATTTTTTAATAAATTTTAATATTTATCGCTGGTGGCAATACCACCACTACCTATTTCTTTTATTAAATTTAGAGATAGAAAGCAATTTTAAACCAAGATTAGGGTTAGGTATAAGGATCCAAATCTTTGTTAGGGTTAGGTTTTTGGGGTTCTAAACATTTTTACTTAGTATTTTTGATATATGTTAGCTAATAGATTTTTGAAATATAGTACTGTATCTCTGGTAATATCATCATTGGTGATAAATAGCAATATTTTTTTTTTAATATTATATATAAAAAGGTATTCTCTATATTTTTAATTAGAGATATAAAATATATTAACATAATAAAAAAACATTAACTATAAAGAAAAAAGATTTTATAATTATAATAAATTTAATAGTAATTTGTAGCTATGAAATATTATTCTTTTTATATAAATTAATATTTTTGTATTAAAATATTTTAAATTTTAACATAATAAAATTTAAATTTAAAAGAGTTTAGGTTCTGTAACTTATTAGTTAAGCTTTAAATCTTTACAAAGTTATCAATTTAAATTAGGCTGAAGACAAATTATTTAATTTGTTTTTATAACTTTAGAGGTCTATAATTGAATATAAAACTTTGTAACTAAGTTCAAGTATAGGTATAGAAATTTTCAGAAAAAGACACAAATGTGAAAGACAATTATTATATATAACTATGATATTATAGAAGATTGCAACTATAAAGATTGTACAAAGAAATTTTTAAAAACAGAATGGTATTAATATTCTTGTATCTTTAATTTAAACAATACCAACATTTTTACATCCAACTTATAAAATACTTGCTTAAAAAGGTGATCAATAGAGTGCACAAATAAGTTCTTATCTAAATTGAAGATACAGGTACTTGCTTAGAAAAGTAATCATCTAACCAAAGTTGGAGTAATAAGAAAAGTAACAAATATGTGAACAGACTGTGATAAAAGATTGGTCTTACCAGAATCAGAAATATCTTTGGCAGTACAAAATGAAAATATTATAGAAGGCAAAGAGTATAAAGGTTGTCTGATGTTCTGAATATGTGTAAAGGTACCAAATTGGGCTCTGATCTCACCTATATGGAAGTCTATAACGAACAAGTTTAGAATCTACCAACCTTTGGAATTTACAATGCAAATGGTAGTACAGCAGAGTACAGCATCACTGGTGTCAGTATAACTCTCTAGATATAACTGGAATTGTCCTGGGACTGGACCGAACTTTTCACATCCTTATAAATACCTCTATATTATCTATCCGTACAGTACACCTTTTTATATTATATAACTAGCAACGTTACATGTTGCGTTACCCACCTGCAATGTTTAGTTTGAATTGTCACTTGATTTAATGCATATATTGATTAAAGCGATAATGAAATATAACATTTGATTTTGGTTTTTTTGTTCAAGATAATTTATTTATCAATAATAAAATAATAATAACAATAGTGTAAGTATTATGCTGGGTCATATGAGTGCCGCAGAACGAAAAGTTAAAAGTGAATACTGTATTTAAGTTTGAATTCTGATGTTACGTAAATTATGTGAATAATCAATGTCCTAGTTATTTGGTAAAATTTTGTACGAACTTATTGTTACCGAGCTATCAGATCACTGATTATTAGTACGTAATACCGGGACTAATTTCGCCATGATGAAAACTTAAATATTCACTTTTAACTTTCGCTCTGCAGCACTCATAGTGAATTCTAATAGTAAAGATTTTTTGTAGGAGCATTTAAAATTTAAACTACAATAACTTTTGAACCAGCAAACCCACATAAATAAAATTACATTTGTCGGGTTCATTTTAATATACTCTTAAAGTAATAATGCTTTTTTTCATTTTAATTGTTTGGAGGACAAATTGATATGCAAAGTTCTCGTTTTTGATGTATTTTTAATAAAAACATCAAAAATGTAATGTTGAAAATTTCTATCTGTTGCTGTCATGTAACACAACAAATCTCTTATGACGTCGGCTGTTTTTTAGCAAAAATACCGGATAATTTGTAAGAAAACAAAGAGGGCGTTATTTCTGTATTTACTTTAAAGAGGATGTTAAAAAAACTCGACAAATATAATTTTATTTGTTATTGTATATTTTGCTAGTGCATGATCATGTGGCGGCTTCGTTGTGCCAACTAATAATTAGATATAACAGTATATGGTATCAACATGGCACGGATTACACGATTAGTTGCAAACACGAAATCAAAAACTTAGTGAATTCGGGATCAGTTTTTATCGATTGTTTCAGAATTTGAGAATAGCTGTAAAACATTAATTTAAACGATTTTAACAAGTTATTACATTCTAAATATACAATTATACATTTAAATGAAGTTTTAATTTAATTTCTTGTTTTTATTATACGTAATAATTTTAGAAAGTAGATATATAATAAATTATAAAATAAATTTGGAGGGTTCTATTTAGCATATTAAAACCCATTTATGCTTGTTTACTATAAAGTCTCCTTAAAGCTGACCCCTAACGCTAAAAAAAAGCTTAAAAATGCACCCAAATTTTGTACTTTTCGGTGGCTAGTCTATTTCATGCTATACACAATTTCATTCTATCTAATCTAGTTTCATTTTAATCCGCTACAATAATTGTAATAAACATGTTTATCGCACTCTTGTAGGGACAGAAGCATGTGTAAGAGTGAATTTGAATTCTTTATTAGCCTCATATTGCCTAAATTTTTTAATCCCGTCCAAAACATTTTGTGCTGGACATCCATTATCTGGAGCCCAGTGAACTATAAAATCTCCTAGAATATATCTATGCGGAAATGTATTGAATGTATGGTCATCTTGATCAAGGTAAAGTGTCTAAAGATTGATTAAAATAGAATAATATAAACATAATCAGTAATTACAATAATAAATATTTAAAATTAAATAATTGTAACGCAAATGAATAACTTACCCCCTTTTTATACATCTTTGTTTTCATCATAATATACAAAGCTTGTTGTTCTAATGATCCATAATAATAATATTTGCTTTGTTTCTGCGCATCTCTTAAAAATTTTCGACTCCATTCTGAATTTTTAATCAGAAAAACACCTGCATTTATCATCCTATCATTTTTAGGTCTAGCAATTATAAAACTGATATTATCAAATTTTTCATTTCCAACTTTTTTTTTAAAATTTTCAAACAATTGTTCTATAGTAATATCCTGATTTGCGATAACAGCATCCATATCTAACCATAAAATCCAATCATAGTAAGGTAAAAGTTTTTCAATAATGTCAATCTTTCCCCAGACATCTCTTCGTTTCTTATATATTTGTTGAGTGAATTCTTTGGAGCGTGCCACAAATGAATATCCATGTTTTTTGGCATATCTGCGTTTGTTATCTGTCACGTCATCTATTACGGAATACATGCACGTATCATTATATAAGAAACTACTTGTTACTATTGCTATTGCCAATTTACCGTTTTCATATGTAATAGGGTTACATATTGTAGATTTTGTGATTGATAAATGCTCAATTAAATCCCTTACATCATTTTCTAGATATACATGACCGACTCCAATTGTTTTTTCTATTGGAACGGTTGCGATAGAATTTGACCATTCTATTATTCCAATCTGATCATTAATGAAAAACAAATTGCTTTTATCTGTAAGATTTTCTGCTTTGAAATAATAATAAGCTAGTGATATCTGATTAGGAAACATTTCTATTAAAGTTTCATTTTTATCTGGTATTGTGAAATAGTCAAAACTAAGTAAAGTGTCTATGGATCCTCGACCAAGTATTATGACCATATCATCTGCTGTTTTGATATCAAAGCGACCCCAAACTAGATAAAATTTCTGTTCAGGTGTCAAGGTATAATTATTGATTACAGATGAATCTAAAATTCGGTGTAATTTCTTAAGGTCCATCACAGAATGCTCATCAACAATTGTTACATAGTCATACGAAAATTTTATTTTTTCAAACGATTGAATCTGTTAAAAATGAATATTTATATTACTAAAAAATTATTGTATAAATTTAAAACCACATTAAAATATGCCTACTTACCCAAGTGAGAATAATCTTTTGCCAATCAACATTATTCGGTAAATTTGAGAATTCTACGATATCATCAAATTCCATAACTTCTGCTTTAAATTTTCTTAATATGTTATAACCAACATTCTGATCAATTTTCACTAAAAATTTGTAATAGATGCTTCCATTTTGTTCCATGCATGGTTTTAAATTGTCTTTAATACCAAACATGAATTCTCTCATTAAGTTTCTCGCTTTAATTTCGGTAACATGAGATACTATTACTACCAATAATTTATGAGATGCCAATGTAATATAATTATTAATAGTATTATTGAGGTGTTCATAATTTTTGCTTATTATACTATTTTGTGAATAAGGATTTTGGTCAATATTCAATGTGTTCGGCACATAATTAAAGAGCACAATAATAATAAGGAATAATACTATAAATATTTGTATTCCTCGTTTTACTAGTATCCCTTGGAGAACCTTTCGGAAAGTCATTTTAAAAAATAATAATAACGCGATACAATTGTTTAATTTATTTAAAATAGAAAGAAATTATGTGACTATCCTGTTCAATATTTAAGTTCACTAAAAAATAACTTACGAATATTAATGTTTTACACTATATATATGAGTTTATGATTTAATTAATCCCTTTAAACTCTTTCATTGTCATGATTGGTCATTGCTTTTTATAATAAGGTTTATACAGGCTTTAGAGGGTTTTACTTTAATACATTATTCAAGGTTTTTTATAGATCAACTAGACAGTATTTTTTTTCTATGCTGGAATTTTAGGGATATTATGTGGTCCGGTCTTAGACTAATAGACCACGGTTAGTCTTAAGACCGGTCTAAACTCGAAAAATTGGTCTGCTCTAAGTTTTAAGACCGGACCAGTCTGGACTATAGATGCTGGTGAAACTGGTGAAACGATAGTCATCAGTTTCACCAGCGTTATTTAGTTTCACCAGCATCTATAATCTGGACTGGCAAAGTCTTAAGAATGAAGACCATAATAGACCAGACTGGACTGTTAACATCCCTAGGCTAGAATACTGTATTTACTGTAAAACACCATGCAAGTGTACCCGGGTATCTTATATCTTGCATGAATTATACGCCCCTATATTTGCTCACTAGAAAAAAAAAATTTTTTTATACTATTAAGTCGGCTATTGATTTGTATCTAGGTATCTCATGATTGGCTCGTCAACGAAGTGACGGAGCCAACTCATTGATTTTAGGAGTAACATAGTCATGCTACAAAAATTTGTCGGTTACGTCATCTCCGTGTTAATCGGTACTAAAACGTCGATCCGATTCTCGGATCGACGTTTTAGTACCGATTAACACGGAGATGACGTAACCGACAAATTTTTGTGGCATGACTATGTTACTCTGATTTTAGCGTTCCCACAAAAAATTGTTCATCCCTGTAATTTTTTACTAAGAATAAAACTGCCTGTAGTTTGGATTAGAGTTAAAATAATTTCATACATTAAAATTTTGTGTTATTTCGGTTTCGTTTCAATTGTTACGTCACACCTGATCTTGAAATTTGATTGGTCAAAAATCACAGAGGTGAACAATTGTTTGTGGGTGCAAATATGCAAAGTCATCCCTGATATGCAAAATATGCAATT